AACCCCCGCCATCTGCCTCGTTCCAGCCAGTCACTCACTCGTTCTAACATTTTAACTGACGGATCGATCGGCCAACGGGGACGAAAAGAGGAGCGATATCTGAACTCTGATTGGTTCTTATGGAAACGTCTTCACTCTGATTGGTTCTTATGGAAACGTCTTCACTCTGATTGGTTGTCATTAAGGCGTATGCTGTAACAGTCTTTGCCACCATAAGACCAGTGGAAATTTCCAGTCGGTCTATTCATTGCTATAAAACGGAGGTGAAAAGTGGTTGAAAGCGAAATACACTTTTAACGACTTAAAACTCTTCTTAAAGCTGCATAAGACAATTATTTGGTAAGTACCTTGCTATATTTACGTTTTAGTGAATAAATAATCTACTTTAAATCATCGAATTTGAGTTCTTAGCTGTTTTATTTAGTTTTGCGGGCTGTGATGGTTTGAATGGATGCTTTACGTTGCTGTTCTTTATATCAAGCAGCAAACGCCATAAGGTCTTAAAAATTGGTTAGTATTGTTTGCGACCATGACACGTTCTACTTGTCCTGAAGTAAGAAAATTATTTGCTGTCAAATTTTTTATCATAATCTAATGCTGGAGAAGGAATTCAGTTATTGAAATTATGAAGTAAACTTGTCCTACTAATTTAGATATGTACTATATGTAGACACTTTCCTTACGAAGAAACGTGTTTTTGATCTCCAGTTATCTAACTTTTAGCCAGTACATTTCTGTAAAATTTCTATAGAAGGCGGGAATGCCCTTTTAAGGCGTTCCGGAATGTAAATAGACGTTGTGGTGAGTGGGTACATCACAACCATGTGACTCTGAAGCATACAGACAAGTTTAAACCTGCAGCTCTGGGTGGGCGGGATAACTTCAGCGTTTAAAAGTCTGGGGCTACTCAGGATTCTGTTCACTTTTTGGTTTTATCTCTCCAGGACACCACTTCCCAGCTTAACTGCAAGCACTTGACTCTACATCTCTCCATTTTCCATCTTCACTTGTGACATATAAGAGCCAGCATGTCTCAGCAGCAGATTAAGTAAGTTTCATTATTTTATTTGGATTATTTTAAATGGGTAATGTGTTCATTAGGCTTTAGTAAAACAGTTTTCTCTGTTTCTCCTTCAGCCTCCCTGCCAAACTCATTAATGGCGGTATTGCCGGTATTGTTGGGGTTACGTGTGTCTTCCCCGTTGACTTGGCTAAGACCAGGTTACAGAACCAGAGAAGTGGGCAGCAAGTCTACAAGAGCATGTAAGTATTTATAGCTACAATCTACACAACATGGATGTGTGGTTTCAGGGCATTACATCTACTACGTCTGTGTTAATCTGGTGCTATCCTCTCTAATTCCACAATGACGCATGAATGGAATCGGAGTCACTGTGTCCTGACCTGATGGATTGTGACAGCTGTGCATTGTTAACTCCTCCTGTTTTTTTTGAGGAAGTCGCTTTAGCTCATTTGGGTGGAATTTTACAGCCCAACCGAATATTCTAGAATATTCTGTTACCTTGTGCAGAAAGTTTATGTAATGTTTTTTTTGTTTAATGAAGGATGGACTGCCTTGTCAAAACTATTCGATCGGAGGGATACTTTGGAATGTACAGAGGTAAGATTATACATCTGATTATTAAGAAGCTTTAGGTTAGCACATGTGGAAGTTCAATTTTTATAGGATTAATTTTAGGAAAATGGTAAGCTCAGTGTCGAGTTGTTGTGCAGTAGTTTTATTTTTGGTTTTTGAAATGAAATCAAAGTAAATGTCAAGACCAATTCCAATTTACTGATGCTGTTAAACACGGTACTACACACTGTTTTTGTTTTTTTTTTTCCCCTTTTTTTTAATGTTTAAATCTGCAAAGAAAATGGAGACCATTAGGCTAGGCGTTTGCTCTTGTGAGGAATGCTGTTTGCATCTGTGTTTTTCCATATTACAGACTTGGGTCCCCCTGGGATATTGAAGGCTAGCCGATAAGGCGCAGCCACGCTGGAGGCAAATATTAATGGTTCTTACAATATTGCTTCTACTTAAAACTATAGGCTCAAGTTTTATGTTTTGCCATCTGTTCTGTAATTTGACTTCCTGTCATTAACTACTTGGTTGTCTCTTCACTGTCCTGTCAACCTGTCATTACTTGTTCTTTCCTTGACTATAACATTACAGTCTTTGTTAGATCTTGCAAATTAATCTGGTCTGATCTATTTTATTTTATTTTTTTCAATGTTTTAATACAACATTGTACAACAGATAACTTTGCAAGTTTGTCCAAAGTCTGAAATATGTGTAGTCTTAAAGTCAGCCTGTCTTGTCACTAACAACTTTTTTGATTAAATTTGTCGTTAACATGTTTACACACTTGACTCATTTTAAAAAGAAAAATGTGTTTGAATTTTATACTTCAACTTTGTTTCATTCCCCACCATTCCTTTTCTGTCATCTTTCCTTTAAAACAATGCTTAAGTGTAATGTTTCATGAGATAATGTGCTTTGCCAGAGTTATTGAAGCAGCTTTAAGTTGAGTTCTATTTTATGATGATATAAAAATATTGACAGGCAAATGTTTCTGTCATTGGAAACTAGATTGTGACATCGATACTAATTGTGAATTTGTTTGTTCCTTAGGGGCAGCAGTAAACTTGACTTTGGTTACCCCTGAGAAGGCCATCAAGCTGGCAGCTAATGACCTCTTCCGCCATCACCTTTCCAAGGACGGGTGAGTGCATTTGTCTAGTGTCTGTCAGAAATTTAATGTGTCACAACTTATGTCTGACTCATTGTTTTCTGCTAACAGAAAAGGCTTAACAGTATTCAAAGAAATGCTAGCAGGGTGTGGTGCAGGCATGTGCCAAGTTATTGTTACTACCCCCATGGAAATGCTCAAAATCCAGCTGCAGGATGCAGGCAGAATTGGTAAGAAAACCATTGAGTAACGGAGAAGGTACTTCATCCTACAACCTAATTTTTGAATTTTTAACGTTTCTAATGTATACATATGTTTTTTTCTTTTTTTTTTTTTGTTTAAGCAGCCCAACAACAGAAACCAGTGATGATGTCTCCCACAAAGCTGGCGGTGACGAACACGGTGCTGAGTCGCTCGTACAACTCGGGTCCTGTGATGTCTGCAACAAGAGCCGTGTCGGCAACGCAGATTGCGAAGGAACTCCTGCAAAAACAGGGCATCCAGGGCCTGTACAAGGGCCTGGGGGCAACACTCATGAGGTGAAGCTCATTTTTATTCAAAAACGGCTTTCCCCCCCCCCACTCCATATAAGAAAAAAAAAAGAAAGTTTAATATTTACTAATGAAGATTTTGTTTTATTTCTTTCAGGGATGTACCCTTTTCTATTGTTTACTTCCCATTGTTTGCCAACCTGAACCGACTGGGCAAACCCAGCCCTGCAGAGTCATCGCCCTTCTACTGGGCCTTCCTGTCAGGGTGTGTTGCAGGATCTACTGCTGCGGTTGCAGTCAACCCTTGTGATGGTAGGTTTCATTTTATCCATTTGTCATCAAGTACCAGTAGCAACAAGTCTTAAAGAATGTTCTTTCTCTATACAGTGGTGAAGACCAGACTGCAGTCCCTCAACAAAGGAGCAGTTGAGGAGAGCTACAACGGAGTTATGGATTGTGTGAGGTAAGATGGCACATTCTTTCCACACCAGCTACTGATGCATACTTACCCTGTCATACGTGGCTCTAAAAATACCCTTCCTTCTGTTTTGACAGTAAAATTATGAGGAAGGAGGGGCCGTCTGCCTTTCTGAAGGGGGCAGGCTGCCGTGCTCTGGTCATTGCACCTCTGTTTGGAATTGCACAGGTCATGTATTTTGTTGGTGTTGGTGAATATATCCTGGACAACTATTCTCCAAGTTTCCTGTCTGTCTGAGCTGCATCAGCAGGCCATCTACACACTGGGCCTGACGTAACTACTGGCAGCTACAATCAGTTTACAGCCAAAAACAGAAATCATCTTTATAGTTTGACAGCTGTGTCGCACTTTGCACACTTTTGTGACTTTGAAACCAACTGAGCCCATCATTTGCACTTGAATCTGTTGACCTTTTTTAAGGTGGTGGACTCAGAATTACAGTGTTCTTGTATCCTAGTCCCAAAACATTCATGTCTGGATTCCCTCTATGAGGGAGAGGAACTCACTCAGACCTAGTTTTGTGTTTAGTATTTCAGTAAAAAAAAAAAAATATTATTATTAACAAGTTATCTTGTCATTTTAAATACATTTTTCCCTACAGTTTCCATTTATGTCATCATACTTCCACTTAGAAGATTTGTGATGGCTAAATATATGGGGCCCAGTTTACACTTTAATTCTGTAAATGTGTTTTGTATTCTGCTATTTTAATATTTAGTTGTTTTATTGGATTGATCTTGAGCCTTCCTACTGGTGTGGGACCATGAAGGTTACCAAACCATAAAAAGCGTCCTCGTACAAAATCCTGTTGTTTGCATGTCCTTTACAAAACTTGCTATTATATATATTATGTTTGTGTAGGCCCTTTTAGACCTTTACATTTATATTATTCTAAGTATCACTGGATTATGTTGCAATAGAGCAGAATTTTATTAATTGGGTTCTTGGAGGCAGCATTATTCACTTGAATTTAACATTAATACTGTGAGAGATGACTGTTGCATACTGTCACTGTGATGACTTTTTTTACACATCATTAAAATGTTGTTTTCATTCATTTTGGTTGCATGGTACACTTTTTTCTTATGCAAATATTTTTATTTGGTGTAAAAGTGTCCTTACAGCACCCTTAGAGTTTTTTTTTTTTTCTTGAATAAAAAAAATAAACTCACTTTTTGTGTATTTGTTAAGTTGGATTGATCCTTCATTGCTGGTGCCTAAGTGATTAGCACCACTGCTTATTTTTATATACCTTTTCAACGCTTCTTCTTCTAGAAGACATAAGGTTGGAGTATAAACGGTAACAATACTTTTTGGCTGGCTGTTTTGGGTCTCTTCAGCCTGCCCAAGAAGGTTGAATTTTTCTGGTGAACTGTTGATTTGGGTAAATATTGCAATGAAAGACTTTAAAATGTGCTGGAATTAACAGTATTCTTGATGAAATTAATATTAACAAGGACATTGGAAAATAAAAAATCCTTTTAACGCCAAGCCTAACTGGAGTGTTTGAAAAACTAAATTTTACTCTTATCTGACTAGAACATGCGTTTCCATTTAGAGCACCACCAGCATTTATCAGACTGAATGCATTTTTAATGGTGTTGGAAAACCTTTGACAATCTGGCATTGTGTCTAATGGTTGTCCTAGAGACTTGACAGTATTATAACTAATGTGTCACCCAAGTCTCCATGTGATAAGATTAAATAGGTTTGTCACATTTTCAGTTGATTTAAATCAGGGGTCCCCAAACTTTTTCCTGCGAGGGCCACATAGCTGTTCCTTTCTGTGGTCTTAGTTTTTGCAGTAAAAAAAAACAAAGAAATTCTTGTCGACGGGGGGTGTGGGGGAGAGACGACGACACTTTTGGATAGATTTTTACCCAGAATGGAAAAAACCGTGAGTGAAACGGTGACTGACGAGTATATATTCCATTGAGGGAAAGTAAGTTTCACATTTGCTCAAAAGCCCCCTGGTGGTTGAAGAAAAATCCACATATAAACCGGAAAATACAATATACGAAAAAAAAAACACTGAATGCTCTCTGGTATGAGCAGGCGGGCCGGATCCGGCATTGTTCAGTGGGCCGGCCCAAATGACGTGGCGGGCCGGATCCGGCCCGCGGGCCGTAGTTTGGGGACCCCTGATTTAAATGGTTTAACTGTTGCTGTGATTGTAGCCATTGGCTTGCAGTCAGACTGGCTCGTTGTTCTGTTTTGGCTGAACTGAACAAGCTTTTGAATCCAGAACAGCATGAACCACAAGACGACTCGATACGAGCACCCAGTATGTTTTATTATCATTAACAGAACAACAAACTGTATTATTTTCTATTTCACATCTTATTGGCACACAAAATTTACATCCACAGAAATTTCCACAAAATGCAAACTAGCTTACTGTTACAGTTTAAATGTGCTCAAGAAGAGCTCAGCACTAAACATTACTGACCTCAGAAAAATTTGTAGATTTACAAAAGAAGCAGTTCTTCATCAGACCTCCCTAACAATTTGAGTTTTCATGCGTGCTTTACAGTAGAAATACTTGAAAGTGGAGGCAGAGAACAAGCAGAGTTATGTACATGTTAAATGTATGAAAAATTACACGTTATTCTGTAGTTGCAGGTTTGACTATGACTTAAAAGGCTCAAATAGGCACACCATGGAAACTCACTCTGCAAAGGTAGGCTAGTCCTCAAAACTCCTAACCACACAAACTTTGATGAGAATCAGGCCCGAAGACGCAAACAGATGGACCGGATGAATAGTGTTGACTGCAAACGTGTAAAATAGTCCATATTTACAGCAATACTCCTCCATCACAAACATTCTTGTGTCATAGAAGGCCTTGTGTATTGTGTTGTAGCTACAGTGCAGTATGACAAACTCTGCAGAGCACCATCTAACAAAAACATGTTAATAGCAGGAAATGTCACGTCATGCTAAAAAGCAAAGCATTAAGAATGGGAAAGAACAGAGCATTAAATCAGTGTTTCTGGGCTGGTAAAGCCACGGGGAAAAGCTTTGAAATGATCCAGCGTGTCGTGTTGAATGCAGTCTGTGCAGTTAACCTCCCCACCTCTCCAGTCTGATCTAAAAGGAGTGTCACAGACATGCAACCGTGGTGCTGCTCTACCCATACGGATACAATGATTATAAAGGGTCGTACGCATGTGAGGGGGTCCGGTTGTTGTTGTGTGAGTGGGTGTGTGTGTGAGGGAGTCATAACCCCAACTATATAACTTCTCTGCTGTTCCTGATCGCACAACACAGGACCATGCTGAAGATCATTCCAATAATCTGAAAAGAGACATAAACAAGATGAAACTCCTAATTCATTACTGTGTGAAAATCACAAGCCAGCACCTTTAGACAGATATTCAAACATTGTAAAAGATCAGAGTTGAAGGTGAAAGTTTTCCAAATTCTCACCATTACTCCAGCGATGCCAATCCCTATATATCCAATGATGAGCAGCTTTTCATCGAAGAAGTTTAATATTGCAGTATGACAGTCCTAAAGAGTCAAAGAAAGGAAAGGTTTAACAGATAAGAATCTGAAGTGCTGCAATGGACTGGCGACCTGCCCAGGGTGACCCCACCTCTCGCCCGAAACGCCTCACTGGAGAAAGGCACCAGCACCCCTCCCAACACCACGAGTGACAAGGGTGTACGAAAATGGATGCATTGATGGATGAATCTGAAGTGGTCAATCAGAATCAGTCCTATACTGCCACCATGTGGCTAAGAAGTGTTACAATTATCTTACCGTTTCCTCTGTTTGGTCTGGGCATAATTCTGGATTTTTCTCCATACTGGCACCTCCACAGCAATTCAGCTGGTCATGCAAAAGGTAAATAAATATGGTTATGTCGGTGTTTCAATGTCTAAGGATGCAATGAGACAAAAGCTATGCTGTACTCACAGTTTTGTGATAAATTAGTGCTATGGCAGTGCCATTAACGTTATCATCAGCAATGGAGTCGCTATAAAACTTCTGGATTTCCTCAGCAATCTATAATAAAAAAAGGCATGAGTAACTCCTGGGGTTTTGACAAACTGAGATAACCACTTATTTTTTTCTTTAAACAGTAATCAATTATTTCACCTGTTCTTTGTTCAAGAATCCAAACACACCGGCAGTGATCTCTGCTCCAAAGATTATCAGAAGACAGGCAAAGAACTGCAGAAGTGGCAAAGAAGGCTTATTGTTGCAAATATTTTTTATTTATGTGATTATTTTTCACATGATCTAATCTCAGTGATCATTTACAGTACAACTTATGATTTAAATATAGACAATCTCTGAGTGTTTTTAAACTAATCATCAGTAAAGTTGTTAAATTAGTTCATCAATAGCTTCTTTTAAATTCAAAAATTATTTCAAAACATTTTCAATAGGTAAAAGAAACCATGACCTAGCTAAAATATAAGACAAGTAACTAGAAATTCGTATTAATCTCCATAGAAATGTAAAGTGAAGGATTACGAGTTCTAAGATTTTCAGCAAGAAAAAAATAAGATAAAGTTTTGCATTACAGCAACACAAGTTTAGTTTTAAGCACTTGAACTCACCGATGCAAGAAGACACTGAGACTCCCGTATGGCTCCAAAACAACCGAAGAACCCAACGACCATCATCAGGCCTCCTGCACCAAGAAGGATGTAAACAGCTGCAGAAAGACACAGAAGGGTTGATTATGATTATTCAGTGTTAAAGTTTTCTCAGAAAATCTAAACATTTGAGGGACGACGATCATTTTCCTGCAGTTCACAGCTTCACCTGATGGTGGCAGCATGATCCAACGTGCCTTCATGTCTTTGGGTAGGTTTATAAAAAGACTGTTTGTTGTGTTTGGGTAACAGCAGAAACATGTAGGTCGAAACTTCTTTACCAAATCAAAACTTCAGAGCCGCCTCCCACCCCTCTCAGTTGGATTATCAGCCTTCTCCCACACCGAGTTTCACAGCTTTCTATGGAGATAAGTGCTGGCTGCCAGCTTGATTGCTCCTGTCAAAGAGATTATTTTTAGGATATGGGTGTTTGTAAATGGTTTTGACACGCTGCCTCTACAGTGTAAATAATGTATCTACAATCCAAAGTAAAATGGATTTTTTTTCAGATGAGAAGATGTTGAGACAATTCCACTAAAATCATCTGGTTTTGGCACCTCCAAATATAGACATAATATCTTCCCAGGTGTTGATGCTGCTAAATTAAAAGCAAAACTGGTTTGAGCGAATTTCCACTGTGTTATTTTGGTGCTGTTTTCAGCTGTAGGCTTTGTTCTTCCGTGTTCTTGGAAACTGAAGCA